GATAGATCAATTAAACAGAAACTTAACAAGGAAGCACAAACATTAAATGATACAATGGACCAGTTAGACCTAAATTATATCTATAGGACATTTCACCCCAAAACAATGAATTTCACCTCTTTCTCAAGTGCACACGGAACATTCTCCAGGATAGATCACATCTTGGGCCATAAATCTAGCCTTCGTAAATTTAAAAAAAAAAAGAAAAGAAAAGAAATCATCTCAAGCATCTTTTCCGATCACAATGCTGTAAGATTAGATATCAACTACAGGAAAAAAATCTATTAAAAATACAAACATATGGAAGCTAAACAACACACTTATGAATAACCAACAAATCACAGAAGAAATAAAAAGGAAACCAAAATAAGCATAAAAATGAATGAAAATGAAAACACAACAACCCCAAACCTATTGGACTCAGTTAAAGCAGTGCTAAGCCTGGAGAATCCCAGGGATGGGGGAACCTGCTGGGGGGCCGTCTATGGGTTCACACAGAGTCAGACATGACTGAAGCAACTTAGCAACAGCAGCGACAATGGGAAGATTCATAGAAATACAAGCCTACCTCAAGGAACAGGAGGGAAATCAAATAAATAACCTAACTATACACCTAAAGCAACTAGAAAAGGAAGAAATGAAGAGCCCCAGGGTTAGTAGAAGGAAAGAAATCACAAAAAGTAGGGCAGAAATAAATGCAAAATAGACAAAAGATTATAGCAAAAATCAACATATCCAAAAGCTGTTTCTTTGACAAGATAAATAAAATAGACAAATCATTAGCCAAACTCATCAAGAAACAAATGGATAAGAATCAAATCAACAAAATTAGAAATGAAAATGGAGTCATCACAACAGACAACACAGAAATACAAAGGATCATAAGAGACTACTATCAGTAACAATATGCCAATAAAATGGACAACTTGGAAGAAATGGACAAATTCTTAGAAAACTATAACTTTCCAAAATTAAACCAGAAAGAAATATAAAATCTTAACAGACACATCACAAGCACAGAAAATGAAACTAGAATCAGAAATATTCCAGCAAACAAAAGCCCAGGACCAGACAGCTTCACAGATGAGATCTACTAAATATTTAGAGAAGAGCTAATACCTATCCTACTCAAACTCTTCTGGAAAATGGCTGAGGAAGGTAAACTTCCAAACTCATTCAATGAAGCCACCATCACCCTAACACCAAAACAAGACAAAGATGCCACAAAATAGAAAACTACAGTCCAATATCACTGATGAACATAGATGCAAAAATCCTTAACAAAATTGTAGCAAACAGAATCCAACAACATATTAAAGATCATACATCATGACCAAGTGGGCTTTATTCCAGGGATGCAAGGATTCTTTAATATCCACAAATCACACAAAGTCATACACCACATTAAAAAATTGAAAGATAAAAAACATATGATTACCTCAGTAGATGAGGAGAAACCCTGTGGGAAAATTCAGCATCTATTTCATAGAAGGAACATATGTCAACATAATAAAAGCCATATATGATAAACCCACAGCAAACATTATCCTCAAAGATGCAAAATTGAAAGCATATCCCTTAAAGTCAGGAACAAGACAAGGGTGTTCACTCTCACCACCAATATAAACATAGATTTGGAAGTTTTAGCCACAGCATTCCGAGAAGAAAAATAATTAAATGGAATCCAGATTGGAAAATAAGAAGTAAAACTCTCTTTGCAGATGGCATGAAACTCTCCATAGAAAACCCTACAGATGCCACAAGAAAAATACTAGAGCTAATCAATGAATATAGTAAAGTTGCAGGATATAAAATCAACACACAGAAATCTCTTGCATTCCTATATACTAACAATGAGAAAACAGAAAAAGAATTGAAAATTCCATTCACCATTGCAACGAAAATAATAAAATAATTAGGAATATATCTAACTAAAGGGAAAAAAAGGCCTATATATAGAAAACTATAAAACACTGGTGAAAGGAATCAAAGAGGATGCAAATAGATGGAGAAATATACCGTGTTCATGGCTGGGAAGAATCAGTATAGTGAAAATGCATACACAACCCAAAGCAATCTATAAATTCAAAACAATCCCTCTCAAGCTACCAATGGTATTTTTCAAAGAACTAGAACAAATAATTTCACATTTGTATGGAACTAGAAAAAAACTCGAATAGCCAAAGCAATTTCGTGAAAGAAGAATGGAATTGGAGGAACCAACCTGCCTGACTTCAGGCTATAGCACAAAGTAACAGTCATCAAGACAGTATGGTACTGGCACAAAGACAGAACTAGAGATCAATGGAACAAAATAGAAATCCAAGAGATAAATCCACCCATCTATGGAAACCTTCTCTTTGACAAAGGAGACAAGAATATGCAATGGAGAAAAGACAATCTCTTTAACAAGTGGTGCTGGAAAAACTGGCCAACTACTTGTAAAAGAATGAAACTATAACACTTTCTAACCCCATACACAAGAATAAACTCAAAATGGATTAAAGATCTAAACGTAAGACCAGAAACTATAAAACTCCTAGAGGAAAACACAGGCAAAACACACTCTGACATAAACGACAGCAGGATCCTCTATGATCCACCTCCCAGAGTAATGGAAACAAAAGAAAAAATAAATGAATAGGACCTAATTAAACTTAAAAGCTTTTGCACAACAAAGGAAAGTGTAGGCAAGATGAACAGGCAACCTTCAGAATGAGAGAAAATAATAGCAAAGGAAACAACGGACAATGAATTAATCTCAAAAATACAAAAGCAGGTGCTGCAGCTCAATTCCAGAAAAATAAATGACCAATTAAAAAATGAGCCAAAGAACTAAACAGACATTTCTCCAAAGAAAACATACAGATGGCTAACAAACACATGAAAAGATGCTCAACATCACTCATTACCAGAGAAATGCAAATCAAAACCACGATGAGGTACCAGCTCACGTTGGTCAGAATGGCTCCAATCAAAAAGCTTACAAAGAATAAAGGGTGGAGAGGAACAGTGTGGAGATTCCTCAAAAATTCAAAATCAACATCCCTACGACCCAGAAATCCCACTCTTACGCATACACACCTAGGAAACCAGAATTGAAAGAGACACGTGTACCACAGTATTCATCACAGCAGAGTTTATACTAGCCAGGACATGGAAGCAACCTAGATGTCCATGGGCAGACGAATGGATAAGCAGCCATGCTGCATATGCACAGTGGAATATTACTCAGCTATTAAAAAGAATGAACTGCATCAGTTCTAATGAGGTGGATGAAACTGGAGCCTATTATAGAGTGAAGGACGTCAGAAAGAAAAACACCAATAGAGTATATTAACACATATAAATGGACTTTAGAAAGATGGTAACAATGCCCCTATATGTGAGACAGCAAAAAAGACGCAGATGTAAAAATAGAATGCTGGACTCTGTGAGAGAAGGCAAGAGTGGGACGATTTGAGCAAATAGCACTGAAACGTGTGTATTATCATATGTGAAACAGATCGCCAGTCCAGGTTTGATGCATGAGGCAGGGTGCTCAGGGATGGTGCAGAAGGATGACCCTGAGGGATGAGCTGGGGAGGGAGGTGGGAGGGGTGTTCAGGATGGGGAACACATGTACACCCATGGATGACATATGACAATGTGGAAAAACCACTACAATATTGTAAAGTAATTAGCCTCCTATAAAATTAATTCAATTTAAATAAAAGAACTTAAAACATTGAAAAAAGGACAGCACACTCAGGGGGTCTTTCACACTTATTGATTTTAAATCACATTCAGTGATTGAATTTGAATCATCAATGACATCTCCAAGGCGTTGGAGTGCCAGAAAGATTGAATAAGGCAGCTGCAGTTCAGAACAAAGATAACATATCATTGAGTTAAAACTTGAACTCAACTCTTTGAATGCTGATGGTGAAACTCTGTATTTTGGTTGCTTCTAAAAAGTTTTCTGAAGACACACAGGATTCTCATCATCAAAACCTCTGCCTTATATATCTCCATATTTGTTTAACTTCTCCTTGAAACTTTTAAAACATTTCAAAATGAAATTTAACACCAAATTAAATATTGCATACTCTTTTTTTTTAAACAATGAAAACTTTCAGAAGTTGGACTAACAAAAGACTTTACTGGGGAAGAATGTTTTAGAAGGTAGTTACTTAGAAATCCTAGGATCTGGTGATAATTACAAGACCAATTTTTACTCAGTCTTATATTAGTACTTATGTAAAAATTCTCTGTACAGACTTCCATGACTGTCCAGTGGATAGAAATCCATGCTTTCACTAGAAGGGCATGGATTCAATCCCTGTTCAGGGAACTATGCCTCCACAACCTACATAGTGCCCCCCACCCCCACCCCCCAAAAAAACAAATCTCTGTAGAGGGTGATCCTGTTTGTAATGTGCACCGGGATTGGGCCACAACCACTGCCCTTCTTTGGGAATACAATGCTCCCAAAAATTTCTTAGCAAATAGGTGGCCTAATCAATATTTGGTTAGTGCCCTCCAAACATTATTTGAGTCCCTGGGAGTGCTAGTTGTGGGTTTTAGTTGTATCAGCACTTTGTGCCTTCTGAGCACCTTTAGCTGACAGCATAGGTGAGTGATGCAACAAACCCCATTATGAGGTAGGTGGCCAGGAGGTGATTTCTGCCTGCCTTTCTCAGGGGGAGTTTCACATTCTCCACCCCCATGTGAAAACCCCTTCCCATCTGGGCCTGGCATCTAGACCCTAATGTCTTTCAACACCCCAGACAAAGGCAGGAACACCACACCAGTACTCCTGGCCCTTGAAATCAAGTGTTAAGCAGGGTTATCCATCTTCAGTGCAGACTCCTGACCCAATCCACACCTCTACTCTCTGGCTAACTGGGGACCTGAGGGTCTGTTCTCCAACCTCACGGGACCCCATATCCCTCCCGTCTCCAGTGCCCACCTCTTTTCTTTCCCTCCCTTCCATCAGAAAATTCACACACACACAAATATCATCTTTTCACCATTTGATGTTTCGTTTATTTGCAGCCATCAGTTAACTATGTTCATGTAAGAGGCTTTTCTTGGTTGGCCATTGCTAAGAACGCAGACCTCTGGAGACACTTCTCCAGGGTCTCTTCTTTGGGGGCGGCTGAGCTTATTTTCTCCTTCGATTCTGCCTCCTTCCTTGACACTGCCTCATCTTTTGGTACCTTTTCTGGCTTCGATTCAATTTCTTTCGTCCACGGCGAGAGAAGAAATAATTTGCTTTTCTTGTTTTCTTCAACTTTGACTGAGGGGCATATGATCGGATTTTCTTCCTGAAGACACCTTGTAGACGTCTTCTGACCCTCATGGTCATATTTCGTGCCTGGAAGACAAGACAAGGGTATCAGTTATGAGGAAAGGAAATAAAAACTGAGGTGGAAGGGAGATTTCATGAGAAAGGGATGGGGGCTAATGAGGGCTTTTGTGCCAGGCATGGGCAGTGTAGAGGTCTTGGGCAGCAAAGTCAATGGAGAACATGAGAAGCTTAGTTGGAGTCATCTTACCTTCACACCGCATCTGCCCCTCCTTTGACAAAGGGTCTTCTTCGTTCCATTCTTCCTTGAAGCAAACCGCGTGGCAACTCTTCTTGACTGCCGTGGCTTCCTGGTTGCCTTAGTCATGATGGCGCCGAGAAGTGGCCTAACCCAGACTCTCTGCCGCTGACCTCCCTATTTATACCCTTTGAGGACAATGAGGAGCCACGCCCTTCAATCTGATTGGTCCGTTAGGCACTGCCCCAGCCAATAGAAGCTTGGGGGCCTTAGACGTCACAATGCACCACTGTGCCAATCAACATGGGCTAGTGGATGCTGAGGGGGGCCGTGATATAACTTTCCCACTGCTGACATGTCTGTGTGCCTGATTCTGAGGGGTGGCGATTCACGGGCATGGTGCTTCTCCTCATGACCTTCAAACTTCCTTTCCATTCCCTTTATTCTTTGACTTATATGTGCCACTTCAACCCTCATGCCTCTTTCATCCCTCTAGGAACATCTGCCAAACCTTTTCTGTCCCACTTCATCCCTTCAGAGTCCTCTAAGCACTTCATCTCTAGATCACCTTCTGCATGTTGGGGGTTCCTGAGGGGCTTAAGGAACTTAAGAGAAAGCACTTAAAGTGGACAAAGGTAATGAAGAGCAGCTTGGATGTTTTATCTACTGTGATGAGCTTCAGCGACCCCCAGACTTGGTGAATCCTCAGTCTGTTGCCCAAAGTTCAATACACAGTCTCCATAAGATTACACATCAGAGCAAAGACAGTTTTAAATGTCTCCTCCACTAAATATTTTAGGGACACTTCAACTCTCATATTGAGTATGGAAACTCAACTTGCCCCATCTAGCAGAAATAAATTCCTGATTTTTGCTTTTTAAAAATGGAAGGTGCTCAAAGTCAAGAGTCAGTTCACCACTGCACCACTGACTCTTGACTGAATCAATTGCCCAGTCACCCCTCCTTGACCGTTCTCAGTAGGTAGGGCCCATTGCAGTGCTGACCAATAGCTGGGCAGGGCAAGTACCTGTAGGTAGCTCGCTGATAGTTGGTTGCTTGTGGGTGGGGCCAGTGAGGCACTGACCAATGGCTGAGCAAGTCCTGTTGCCTAGTAACAGGAGGCGGAGAATAAGGCTCAGCAATGGCCACCTGCGCAGGGCTCTGCCCATGTTGCTCTGTTACAAAAGGACACTTTGGGTCCAGTGTACTGGCAGCTTTTTGACTGACTCCTTTCCAACCTCAGACTTTATTTCACATGCTTATTTAACTTTTGCCTATCATTCTTTCCATTATCTTCCCAGGCATTCCTGTCACCAGCGCTTACCTCTATGCCCCTCCAACAGCTGCCACTTGATCACATGTTCAGCATATAGTATACATAGTTCAAAACCAACAAGAATGTGCGGGCCAGCCCACGTTGAAAACTACTTTGAGAGACCTTAACTTCACAGTGATTCTTTTTCTATTTCCAGTGTAACAGAGCAGGATGAGCACAGCCCTGATCAGGTAGCCATTGGTGTGCTCCACTTCCACCCACCCTGTTCCTAGGCAACAGGTGTTGCTCCACCATTGCTTGGTGCCTCAGAGGGCCCCGTCCACAAGCAAACAATTGTAAATGAGTGACTGTCAGCTGTCCTGCTTAGCTATTGAGCAGCACTGCAGTGGGCAATGCCCGCAGGTTACTGTCAGGGAGGGACCATTGGGGAAGCAGTTAAGTCAAGGGTGGTGTGGTGGCACTCAGGGGGAGACTGAGGCAAGAGGCAGAGTCAGGCCTTCTTCTGGAGGCCCTGGAGCTCATGCAGACTTGGGCCAGTGGGTGAGCTGGAGGGCCCAGGGAATAGCCTGAGGACTACATGCTGTAGCGCTCTTTTGTTCCTCTTTGCTGTCTGCCTTAAGGGTGGTGTCGCCAGCATATCTGAGGTTATTGATAGTTGTCAGTGATTAATTAGCTGAACTGTTTGCCCCAGTGATTTGTGAGAACTGTAACTTGAACAAATTTTAAAGTTTCTCTTCTGTGTATATGGTTTATGAACTTTAACTCACAAATGACAACAAATATTGGGGTGCTTAAACAAATAAGAAATGAACCTTGGAGCAACACTCCCAAATGGATCTTTCTTGAGAATGTGTGGACCGTCAGGAAAAACGTTTTTGACTCCAGTTCTCTATCACAGCATCTTATGAACCTGAACATCATATGAACTGTCTGATTATGCCACTGGTTCACATCACTCTTCCATAAACAGTTATTTCTAGCCTTGTTAACTCCTTGTTATAAAAATAAAATTCCTTTCTGGTTGACTAGGAGACACTTTCAGATTTTGTTCATATTACACATTGTAATCATCTTTTCAAATCAACTCCCTCATTACTTTAGAGCATATTTGTTTTTTATCCAACAAAGCTTGCAATAATGGGCAATTTATAAACCTCAGTCCTTGTCATGGTGACCTTTATTTGTCAACTTGGCTCAGCCATAGTGCCTAGATATGTGGTCAAATGTGTTAAGTGCATGTAACTACCAGCACAGTAAAGATGCAGAGCTATTTCATCACCAAAAAACAACTTCTTTGTGCTTCTCTTTTATATTTTCACTACCCCTTGCACCCTGACACTGTGTGAGAATTTTAAGTAGAAGAGTGGAAGGATCTGAGAGCAGTCAACTGGATCAAGAATGTAGCTTGTCCAACTTTGGGTGCCCTAGAAGCCTTAGATAAAGTAAGTGACCCATGAATCTATATTGTTTATTTGTCTCACTTTTAGGGTCATTATTTTTAGATCAGTTTTAGATTCATGGCAAAATTGTGAGGAAGGTACAGATATCGCTCATATATTCCCTGTGTCCACACATATATAGCCTTCACCATTCTCAACATTTTCTCCAAGATGGCAGAGTAGAAGGACGTGCACTCAACTTCGCCTGCAAGAACTCCAAAATTACAACTCTCTGCTAAACAACCATCAAAGGAGAATGTTGGATCCCACCAAAAAAAGATACCCTACATCCAAGTGCAAAGAATAAGCCCCAGTAAGATGATAGGAGGGGCAAAGTCACGTTTAGAATCAAACTCCATACCCACCAGAGACTCTCTGAGGGCTCAAACAAACCTTGTGTGCACCAAGACCCAGAGAATCCACAGAGACTGAGACAGAACTGTGTTTGAGTGTCTCCTGCAGAGGTACTGGTCATCAGTGGACTGCTGTTGGAGCAGGGGCTCTCAGTGCAGTAAACCTGGTTGTGGCATAAGCTCTCTTGGAGGAGGTTGCCATTAACCCCACCATACAGTTGCCAAAACTTACACAGGACTGGGGAAACAGACTCTTGGATGGCACAAACAGAATTTTGTGTGGACTAGGACCTAGGAGAAAGGAACAGTAACCCAACAGGACACTGACCCAGACTTGCTGCTGAACTTCCAGGCATCGCCAGCGGAGGCATTGGTCAGTAGTTGCCTGCTACAGGGTCGAGGGCTGTGAGTGAAGCAGTGTCTGCATGGCACCTTTTGAAGGAGATTGCCATTATCTTCATTACCTCTAGGATAGTTTGTCCTCAGGTCAAATGACAGGGAGGGAACACAACCCCGCCCATCAACAGAAGACTGAATTAAAGATTTACTGAGGATGGCCTGGCTCATCAGAGAAAGATCCAGTTTCCCCCTCAGTGAGTCTCTCCCATCAGGAAGCTTCCATAAGCCTCTTATACTTCTCCATCAGAGGGCAGACAGAATGAAACCCACACTTGCACTAAACTCACCAATCTGATCACATGGAACACAGCCTTGTCTAACTCAATTAAACTATGAGCCATGCTGTGTAGGGCCACCCATGACGGACAGGTCATGGTGGAGAGCTCTGACAAAACATGGTCCACTGGAGAAGGGAATGGCAAACCTCTTCAGTATTCTTTCCTTGAGAACCCCATGAACATTATGAAAAGGCAAAAAGATAAGACACTGAAAGATGAACTCCCCAGGCTGGTAGGTACCCAATATGCTACTGGAGATCAGTGGAGAACTAACTCCAGAAAGAATGAGGAGATGGAGCCAAAGCAAGAACAACACCCAGTTGTGGATGTGACTGGTAATGGAAGACCAATGCTGTAAAGAGCAATATTGCATAGGAACCTGGAATATTAGTTCCATGAATCAAAGCAAATTGGAAGTGGTCAAAGAGGCGATTCAAGAGTGAACATCAGCATTTTAGGAATCAGCAAACTAAAATGGACTGGAATGGGTGATTTTAACTCAGATGACCATTATATCTACTACTGTGGGTAAGAATCCCTCAGAAGAAATGGAGTAGCAATCATAGTCAACAAAAGAGGTCAAAATGCAGTACTTGGATGCAGTCTCAAAAATGACAGAATGATCTCTGTTCGTTTCCAATGCAAACCATTCAATATCACAGTAATCTTAAGTTTATGCTCTGACCAGTAATGCTGAAGAAGTTGAATGGTTCTCTGAAGACATACAAGGTGTTCTAGAACACTCAAAAAATATTTTCCTTTCATAATAGGGGACTGGAATGCAAAAGTAGAAAGCCAAGAGATACCTGGAGTAACAGACAAATTTGGCCTTGGAGTACCAAATGAAGCAGGGCAAAGGCTAGTAGAGTTTTCCTAAGAGAATGCACTGGTTATAGAAAACACCCTCTTTCAACAACACAAAAGAAGACTACACATAGACATCAACAGATGCTCAATACTGAAATCACATTGATCATATTCTTTTCAGTCAAAGATGGAGAAGATCTATACTGTCAGCAGGAAAAAGACTGGGATCTGACTGTGGCTCTGATCAGGAATTCCATATTGCCAAATTCAGACTTAAATTGAAAGTATGGAAAACCAGTAGACCATTGAGGTATGACTTAAATCAAATCCTTTATGATTATTCAAGGAACTAGATCTGATAGACAGAGTGCCTGAAGAACTGTGGATGAAGTTTCATGACATTGTACACAAGGCAGTGATCAAGACCTTTCCCAAGAAAAGAAATGCAAAATAGTAAAATGGTTGTCTGAGGAGTCCTTACAAAAAGCTGAAAAAAAAAGAGAAACAAATGGCAAAGAATAAAAGAAAAGATATACCCATTTGATTGCAGAGTTCCAGAGAATAGCAAGGAGAGGTAAGAAAGCCTTCCTCAGTGATCAATGCTAAGAAATAGAAGGAAGCAATAGAATGGGAAGACTAGAGATCTTATCGATAAAA